CCGCGCCGTCGCTGCCTTCCGGCGGTGCCGTAGCCAGGGAGGGGATGCCCGGCTCTCCCCAGCAGCTGGGATGGCTCCTCTCTGGGGCTCGGCGGAGGAGCAGAAGTGGCCGTGGCTTTCTGGTGCTGCTGCTGGAGCCAGCCGGGTGGCTGCAGTTCAAGGCCGGACTGGTGCGGGCTCGGGGAGGCAGGAATGAGCTGGGCAGGGGCAGAAGAGGCTGTGGGCACACGTATGCAAAAAGCATCCCTCTTGGAGCTGCCCCTTGGTCCAAATGATCTCTTTTCGGTGCCTGGCTGTAGCTTCCCAGCAGCGCTGGCCGCTCCCGGAGCTCAGAAGCCCCAGCAGTCGTCTGGCGGTGGCAGCTGGCACAGACAGCCGCATATGCCCCTTCGCACTGGCCAGGTGGCTGAACACCCCACTGCCGGGGCGAAAAAAAGCCGGCACCACGCTCCATCCCCAGACATCCAGGGGGACAGCGGCGGGGCTGCAAGCAGCTGCAGAACAAACTAACCCTGTGATACAGCCTCCTGGGCACCTCTGATGGGCTCCCCAGCCTTTAACAGCAACGTCCCCGCAACTTCTTCCCTTGTCGTACATGAGGTCTGAAAAGAGCATCCATACGGCCGTGACAATCCTCCTCACCCTGTCCACTCATGGTGCCTCTGCTTTACCCACTTCTCAGCAATGCTGTAGCTCCTCCACCAGCCTCGCTTCTCCACCCAGCGGTGTCTTCCCGGACAGCTCCGCACCAACGGTTTTAGGATGCTCTGCAGCATCAACGATCCCAGTGCCTGACCCTGGTGGGATGCAGCACCCAGGACCCTCTGCATGGAAGCAGGGTGCCCAGCAGACGCGTACCCAGAGCTTTCCTGGCCGGCTGATGTCAGACACTACCAGGAGGAGGGAGATGGGATGATGTGATCATGCAGCCTGCATGTGCAGACCTTCCTGGCTTTGAAATCCAAGGAGCTATGTCCGATCACTGGCTGGCAGGGTGAGGCCCGGGGTCCTG